TGCTTGTGTTCCTGCTCTCGCTATCTCTCTGTCAAATAAATAAATAAAATCTTTAAAAAAAAAAAAAATAGAGCCCCGGGTAGAATCTACATACCCCAACCAGTTCTTGTTTTTCTACATCTTGATTAGCTGTAAAGAAGAGTGCAAGAGAGAAATAATAACTAAATAGAGTTTGTTGTTGTTGGTGGTGGCAGTGTTTGGTTTTTTGGGGTTTTTTTTTTGTCCGTTTGTTTTGTTTTTGCTTTTGATGCTTATTTTTTATAAAAAACATAGGTCTCATTAAACCAGTTTTGGTAAGATTGTTTTCCCGAGCATCTAATTTCTTAAGGAATTATACAGCTCTTGATGAAGGGTTTTAGGAATTCTTGTGAAAGAAACGGCTGAACTAAGAAGGAATGCTCTATGCTACAGACGGTCAGGCCTGGGGAGCTCACTGTATATGTTACTGGCTTCTGCTCCTTCCTGCTCAGATACTGGCCTGCTGAAGCATTTGCCTCTTCCGATCTATCCCTCCAGAGTGCACTGAGGGGTCAGGGTGGTCTAAGCTTGATTGGCCACTGCTTTGAGTGGATTGCTGGGCTCGGGGGACCTCAGACAGATTCATACACACAGACTTGGGCTTGGTGAAAAACCTTAGGCTATTCTGCTTCCAGGCCATAGAGGTAGAGCTCAATCTCTTTAAAGACTTGACATAATTCCCCTGAGCAATCATTGCTTTACTGGGATTTTATGGGGCCATGGTTAAATGTTTTGAATATTCTACTCTCAGAACGACTATTTCTCCAAGATTTGCTATGCCAGTGAAACCATATTCAGAACAAGGTGTGTTAGGCTCCCCAAAGACATTCATGTCCGGATCCCCAGAACCTCTGAATATGTTACATTATATTACGTGGCAAAAAAGAATTAAGGTAGGAGGTGGAATTAAAATTGCTAATCATTATAGGCTGAATTGTGTCCTCCTCAAAATTCATATATTGAAATACTAACCCCCAGTACCTAAGAATGTGCCTGTGGATATGGGGTAATTACATTAAAATGAGACCATTAGGATGGGCTCTAATCCAATATGATTGGTATCTTTATAAGAAGGGAAGAGTAGGACACAGGTATGCACACAGGGAAGAACATGTGAAGACACAGGCAGAAGACAGCCATCTATAAATCAAGGGAAGAGATTTACTAACCCTGCTAAAGACACAAACCCTGCTGACACCTTGGTCACAGACTTTTAAACTCCAGAATTGTGAGAAAATAAGTTTCTGTTGTTTAAGTCACCCAGTCTATGGCACTTTGTTATGGTAAACCCTAACAAACTAATATACTAATCAATTGACCTTAACATTGGAAGGGTATCCTAGATTATGTGAGTGAGCCTGACGTAATCACGAGGGTCCTTAAATAGAAAAGAGCAAACAGAAGAAAAGCTCAGATTGATGTGATATGAGGAGAACTGGACTCACTCTTGCTGTCTTTGAAGATGGAGGAGGGCCATGAGCTAAGGTATGCAGGTGACTTCTAGAAGCAGTATGGGCAAGGAATAAATGGATTGTTTCCTAGAGCCTCCAGAAAGTAACACAGTCCTGCCAATATCTTGATTTTACCCATTTTGGACTTCTGAACTATAAGATAATACACTTACGATATTTTAAACAACAAATTTGTGGTAATTTGTTACAATGGCAATAGGAAACCAATACACAAGGGTTCCGAGCCTGGTCTGTACAACACAGCAGGATATAAGGCATGACCCTTGCTTCAGCATAGTTCAGACTTCCGTTGTACTCATACTATTAGAAGTTCTTCAAAATATCCCTACTCTTTACTTACCTACCTCTTTTGTCAGTGTTGTATAAGATACCAGGGACGTTTCTCTTATGAATGGTGCTGGAATAAGGTACTGGGAAGAGCAATTGCTCTGGTCTAATATAGGAACATTCACAATGTGCCTTGAAATTGTGGATAAAGCCAAGTCATCACAGTGTCCTTAATTTAAACTTCTACTCATTGGCCCCTGCAGGGTAATCTTCCTCAATCCTTAGAGGTATTGGTGCTGTAGGTGTAGGATTTCATGTTTTCAATGCATACATTAAATGAATATTTATTGAGTGCCTTATACATGTCAGATAGTGTTGCAGACACTGGGCACATACAATCTCTGCTTTCTTTCCAACAGGAGAAAGCAGACAACAAATAAAATATAAATGTATGCCAGGTCATGATAAGGGATAGAATGAAAACCTAAGCAGCAGGTGAATGGAGGAGGGGCAGGAGATTTCTCTGATCCAATGACACTTAACAAAGGCATGAACGATAGATCTTTGAATTCTCTGAGGGCCAGGACTGTGTCTTCCTCACCTTCGCTTCTGTGTGCTGGTCAAGTCCTTATAATGCAGGGCAGGAAAATGGTTTAACACTAGAATATAAGGCCATGTTGGCAGGGGCTGCAATGGGCAACCCTTAAGCCATGGAAGTATAAATAATGTATATAATCCCATAATTACTGGTCAAGCATCAGCTGTCTACTGAATTTTATTTAAGAGTCCTTTATGCTCTCAGGATACACAGCAATCACATAACTCTGTCAACTTAGAACTTTTTGGGGGTACTATGTGCCATGTTACCCCAGTACCATATTTAGATACTCTTACCAATAACCACTGTAGCCTGGAGACTTGAATTGAAATTGGAAACATGAATTCATCCCCAAATTTGTAGTGGCTATAGCAGATTTTAGAGGTTTTCTTTGCCTCCCGTAAAGCTCTATGTAACTTGAGCACCTTGAATCTAATCATTTATCCCTGAATTGTAGTATTTGGCTATTGACCAGGACATTATGATGAATTGTATGTAAAGTTAGTAATTGTGATTCCTTTTCCCCAGCAGACCATTGGTAGCTGCTACTATGGCCCCTACTTGCATTTTTGGGTGACTTTCAATGCTCACCTCTTCTATTCAGTGAAACTGAAGGTCCACCCGTGGGGACAAGTGTTCACGTGCCTGTGTATACCTGCTCTGGTCTCAGAAACGAGCTGTTCAAGGCCTTGCCTTCAGAGCATATCTCAAAACTTTGGGGATTTGTTTTCAATTACACTTTCTCAAGATGTCTTGTTTCCTTATCTTGACTCCCTCCCTCCCCTTCCGTCCTTTTTAACTCTAAAAATGTTGACACAGCTTTCTCTTTTCCATCTACTGAGAAGCTAGGTCATATTCATTTCTGACCTACCTTTAGCCCACTCTCAGGGAAGGCTTATCATGCTTCTTGGTCTGACCCTCGGCAGGATTCCCCAAACAAATGACCGCCCCAGAGGGTCCTGGGTCCTGTGCAAGGTCAGAAACTTGGGAGCTCTTCATTTCCTTATTTCACAGTGCTCCTCTTGCTCTGGTACACATGTCCTTTACCAGCTCTGGCATTACCTTTGCAAAATGCAATCCATACAAAGGATCATACTGCAATTTGTAGTAAATGCCTAAAATTTCCGGTAGATGATGTGTTTTGCAAGCATTCTTGCTGGAGCAGCCTTTCCAGCATGCTGGGATCTGGGAGCAGGCTGGTAGTGGTAGGGGTAACTGGGGTACCTCTTGTTGGCTTATCTGCTTTTCAGGGAGCTAGGGAAAACCAAAGAGTTTGAGAGCATGGTCAAAGGGCATCTACAAGGTGTGGCTGCTCTGGGAAAGGTGAAAGCTCAGAGCAGGACACGCTGTTCACTTTTCTGAATTCCTGGGGCTTGAGCTCACGCTCAGGCTGTGTGCCTTCATAGCCCATGAGCTTTCCCCATGATTTGGATTGGCTGCTTTCCCAGCAGGTCAGGTTGGCATTCAGTGCTACAAGACAGATGGCTCTGTATTGGTTTCTTTGGGCTGCTACAACGAGGTACCACACACTGGGTGGCTTCAAACAACAGAAATTTATTGTCTTGTAGTTCTGAAGACTCTAAGTCCCCAGTCAAGGTGATTATCCCCAATCAAATCAAGCAGAGCCATGCTTCCACTGAGACTCCAGGTAAAATCCTGTCTTTTCTCTTCTTAGCTTCTCGTGGTGGCTGTTGATTGTTGGCATTCCTTGGCTCGTAGCTGGGTCACACTAATTTCTGCCTTTTTATCACCTGGCCTTCTCCTGGTGTGTCTCTGCGGCTTCTTATAAGAACATCAGTGTCAGTTACTTTTAAATGGAAGGGAAGACTGTAGTCTGGGAATAGAGAGAAAGGACAAATGTGAGACAAGTCACTTATCAAGAATGCACCTAAGCCTGTCAGGACATGATGAAGTGGTCGGAGGCAAAGTGGCAGGTGCCCAGGCAACTAACATTTATCTTCCCAGATGATGTTTCACATCACACTACTGTTTACAAGGAAATCAAGGAGCATCTTTCCTATTTCAGGGCTTATGATTGAAAATTTCATATTTTGCAAAACTTTTTGAAAATTTCGTATTTTGGGAAATTCTAGAATGAAGGAAGAAGCTTAATACCTGAGTCTGACTCCAAATGTAAGTCGAAGTTCACTTTTATCCATATGTAGATACACTTGCATCCATAGTGTGGTAGGTTTGGTAGGTGGACTAATAGCTCCCCCAAAAGACATCCACATCCTAAATTCTGGAGCCTATGAATGTTAACTTCCATGTCAGAGACTTTGCAGATGTGATTAAGGATCTGGAGGGTGGAGAGATTATCCTGGATTATCTAGGTTGGCTCTAAATGCCACAGTATGTGTCCTTATAAGGGGGAGGCGGAGGGATTTCTCAGACAGAAGAGGCTATGTGAGGGAAGCAGAGTCAGACACAGAAGATGCTAGCTATGTATGTTGGCTTGGAAGATGAAGAAAGGGCCGTGAGCCCCTGGAAAAGGTAAAGAAACAGATTCTCTCCTAAATCTTCTGGAGAAAGCATAGCCCTACTGACACCTTGATTTTAGCCCCTTATTTAGCCCCAGGCTCATTTTGAAATTCTGACCTCCAGAATCGTAAGAGACTAAATTTCTGTTGTAAGTCACCAACTATGCGGTGCCTTTGTAAGAGCAGCCATAAGAAACTTACAAACAAGAGTATGATGCCTTGTATTTAAATTAAAAAATATAACTCTTTCTGAAAACTTAACATGATGAGGACGGAGTAATATACAGATTTGTTGAATCACTCTATTGTACACCTGAAACTGATATAACACTGTATATTAATTATACTGGAATTAAAATAAAAAGCTGAATAAAATTAAAAAATATATAACTCTCTCTACATAAAGACATAGAGACATCAAGACTTGAAGACAATACAGTAAAATCTTTAATAGTGGCTAACTCTGATGATAGGATTATGAGTGATTTTTTTTTTTTTTTGGTCACTACTATGATTTCCTAAATTTGCCAAGATTTCTAGAGAAAATCTAACAGGTTCTTGATTCTTTTTTCTATTTTTTTTAAAGTTAAGGGAATATTATTCAATCTTAAAGAATCTTAAAACTCTTAACACACGCTGCCCCATGGATGAAACTTGAGGACATTATGCTCAATCAAGTAAGCCAGTCACAAAAAGACAATACTATATGATTCCGCTTTCATGAGGTACCCAGAGTAGTCAAATTTATAGAGACAGAAAGTAGAATGGTGGTTGTTGCCAGGGGCTGCGGGGGAGGGAAGACTGGGAGTGGTTGTTTAATAAGCATAGAGTTTTAGTTTTGCAAGATGAAAAGAGTTCTGGAGATTGCACAACAATGTGAGTGTGCTTAACAGGACTGAACCATACACTTAAAATTGGTTAAGATAGATTTAGACCACATTTAAATTTTTTACAGTTCATCTACATTATAAAAGGAGAGCTTCAGTGATGCCCTTAAAAATAAATATGCAATACGTGATGTGATCTTGGTTATATGAGGTTGTGTCTTCTCCGCACCTTTTAAATTCCTTTATAGCAGCTGGGGCCACCTCTCCACATGAGCTTTAGACTCGTCCCCTGCCATTCATTTCTCTATCAATTCCCCTGTTTTTGCTTTTGTTTTTATTCACTCTGCGTGGTCTTTCTCCTCTGCCTATGAACATGTCCAAGTTTTTCAGGGCTCTGTTAGATCTCTTGAGAGTATGCTAATCAATTGCTCCTTTTTGAAATGCTTATTTTTCTGGCTTTTACAAGGTAGTCTGTATATTGCACATACTCTTTTTATTTATTTATTTATTTATTTATTTGAGACAGAGAGAATGAGAGACAGAGAGCATGAGAGGGAGGAGGGTCAGAGGGAGAAGCAGACTCCCCGCCGAGCAGGGAGCCCGATGCGGGACTCGATCCCGGGACTCCAGGATCATGACCTGAGCCGAAGGCAGTCGCTTAACCAACTGAGCCACCCAGGCGCCCTTGCACATACTCTTCTTACAAAAAGACACGCACTTCAAAACACTCCTCTGGTATTACTGATCTCTGGTGTCTTTCCAACATCCATACACCAGGGATGTAGGTGCAAGACAGGATGACTCCCTTTTTCTCTCCCACCCCCACATATAATTAGTCATCACAGGTGACTAATTTTTCCTCCTATATATTCTTTTAGCCCCATCCCATCTATAGTTTCAGGCCCTCAGCCTGCCTTGTCTGAATATACCAATAGTTCAGTCTTGCCCCATCTTCCACGCTGCAAGCAGAATGATCCATCTATATTGTAAAATTTCCCACGCTACTTCCTGCTCTAAAGCCCTTCAATTACGGTGCACACCCTTCAGCATGACACCCAACACCTTCCATGACATGGTCCCTACCTGTCCACACAGACCCTCCATCCACCAGTCCCACAGCTCAAGTCATCTTTCACGACCAACTACGTTCATAACTTGCTGTGGTTCTTCAGCCATTTCTGGGCCTGCTGCCTCTCCTTTGGCTGGAAAACCCTTCCCCTCCATTTCACTGAACTAATACACAGCCATTTTTCTGCATTCAGCTTAGGTATCATCTCCCCTAAGGTACTTTCACTTTCAGAGTCCTCAGTGTTCCCATAGCACCCTGGGAACAGGTTGTTGCCTTAACAGGTTATTTATATAGAAGTTAACTATTTATGTGTCTGCTTCCTCACTAGCACTTAAGCTTTTTAAGGGCTGGGACCATCTTTCAAGTCATTTTGGTGTTCCGAGTATCTAGCACAGTGTCTGGCACATGTAGGCACACAATTGGTGTTGATTAATTAAAATAATTAGTAATAAACACTTTTGCTGAAAGATTATATCCATAAGCCACAAAACATTTAAAGCCCTTTTCTCTGACCACCGTTGCTTTAATTATAAATTTTCATGGCAGAGACGAATGGAATTTTGATAAAGAGGACTAAGATCTCCGGAGGTCATACATTTAATTTTTCCATTAAAATTTTGACCTATTTATTTTAGCAGGGCCTATATTCGGGGGTGGGGTGGGGCGGAATCTTTGACCTCTACCATCCTAATACCCAGGGCTGAAATGAAGTAGCCTCACAAATATTACGTTCTGCACTATATATACCTGTTTGGTACTTAGAGTTTACAGATTTGGCCTCAAAGTAGATTCGCCAGTGATATTTGCTATCTTCCCTTGACTGGCCAATGCCTTTGGATACATTCTAGGATGGTGCAGAGTGGAGCCCGTTCCCAGGCGAACCGACATGGAAAATCCGGCTTAACAGTATCTAGCGGAGTTCTCAACTTCCTCAGGCTGCGTGCCCCTCCTTGCGGGTCTACCCGCCCTGGAGCAGCCCCTGGTACGGCCGGCCCCGGTCGAAGTCGCAGCTTCCCTCCTCAGGTCACCTACCCCCAGGACGCCGGCTCCCGCCCCCCGTGAGCCCCTGAACCCTGGCCATCGAGGTGGCCGCCGCGGGACAGCAAAGCGGGCGTCACGTGCGCGCGCCGCGTCCACCGCCCCCGGACCCGGGCCCGCCCC